ACACACACACACACACAACATGGACCCCTCTGGGCCTCTAATCCACAGGTCTCAAGTCTGACCCATCGTCCTTGGCGAGCACTCAGGAACTTCAGGATGAGCTGGCTCCAAGGCAGAGCCAGGGCAGTCACAGCTCAGAGGTTGGGTTCTGCGGACCCAGGGTGGGGGTGGGGCATGGGGATCAGCAGGCCGGGTAAACAGCACACAGGATGGGCACAGGAGAGAGACAGGCCCAACATCTTAGAGATTCCTCCATAACCTGCTTTCATGGTAGAGGAAGTCAGGACCAAAGGTGGGCAAATCCATTCATTGATTGATTGATTGGTTGATTCATTCATTCATTCATTCATTCTATAAACACGGACCCCACACCAATGGTGCATCAGGCACAATTCCACATATTGGGGATAGGGCATGGGTGACATTCAATTCTCTGTCCCCAGGAAGCTCCTCCTCAGGTGGGGGAGACATAAACATGCCAACACACAACGAAACTCACTGCCAAGTGCATGCAGACTCACAGCGACCCTATCAGACAGGGTAGAACTGCCCCTGTGGATTTCCCATACTTTTAACTCTCTCTGGGAGTAGAAAGCCCCATCTTTCTCCTAAGGAGCGGCTGGCTGGTGGTTTCAAACTGATGAGCTTGCAGTTAGCAGTCCAATACATAACCACTACCCTACTAGGGCTCCCCACAGGGACACGGACAGAATCAAGCGTGAGTTGGTAATAGGAGCTAATAAAGAAAATGAAAGAGCATGGTGTGGGAGGGGGAGCAGTAAGGAGAACGTGCCTGGGGAGCGCAGTGCTCAGCCAGGAGGCTGGGGTCCCTGGAGGAGACTAGAGAGGTGGGAGGTCAAAACAGCAGTGGCCACAGCCAGTGGAGGCACCCTATAGAACAGCAGGATCCTATAGAACAGGGGTTCTCAATCTGTGGGAGTCAAACGACCCTTTCACGGGAGCCTCCCAATCCGTAACAGTAGCAAAATCCCAGTGATGAAGTAGCAACGAAAATAATGTTATGGTTGGGGGGTCACCAC